TATATATACATAAAGCTATATGTGTTCATTACAAAAAGGAATTATACATGTGTATATATTAAATGACCTAAAGTTCTTTTAAAATATTTTGTTAGTATAATAGATATGGTTTTATCAATTGAATATAATTACAATATTTAACAAAAAAAGTGCTCAGTAATTTCATTTTCAAAAACAGAAAAAAATATTCATAAAATTCTAGGATACAAATCTAATTACTATGGTATTAAACTAATTTGGATAATAGTTGTTATCAGAATGATAATTGTTTAATGTCTTTTTTTAAAAAGATCGAATTCAATATTTAGAGTTTATTGTTTCTGTGGTGAGACATTGCCTCTGCATCAATAGGCCTCAACATACACAAAGGCAAAAGCAAGGTTCTCAAATACAACACAGAGAACGCCAAGCTAATCACACTTGACGGCGAAATTCTGGAAGATATGGAAACATTCGCGCACCTGAGAAGCATCATGATGAAGAAGGAGGATCCGATGCAGATGTAAACGAGAGAATTGGCAAAGCAAGAACATATGAAACATATGGAACTCAAAACAACTGTCAACTAACTTCAAAGTGAGAAACTTCAATACGAACGTCAAGACAGTCTCACCCTACAGAGCTGAAACACGGACAACTACTACATCCTTCGTCAAGAAGGTACAAGTATTTATAAACAGTTGATTACACAAAATACTCAACATCCATTGGACAGGATACTATCAGCAACAGCGTTTTATGGGAGAGGACAAACCAGATTCCAGCTGAAAAGGAAATTAGGAAAAGACGTGAATCGGACATACATTGGGGAAATCACAAAACTGCATCACAAGGCAATCGCTAATTTGGAATACGGAAGGAAAGCGGAAAAAAAAGAAGGCCAAAGAACACATTACGTAGGGAAATAGGAGCAGATATGAAAAGGATGAATGTTAACTGGAAAGGATTGTCGAGGACAGGGTTGGATGAAGAATGGTGGTATGCGGCCTATGCTCTTCCACGAGGGGTATCAGGTGTAAGTAAGTAAGGAAGTGGTAGGACGTTGTGCTGAAAACTAGTTGGGAAATTTAATTATTACATTTAGTATACACTTATTGTAAAACAGTTGATAAATGGACACTTTGTGAATGGTTTTTGAATATTTATGCGAATAGAATTTTGATGGAACATTACAGAGAAAAACAAACAAATTGTTTATAATGTTAAGAAAAAGGACATTTTCGTATACCCAAGTGAGAAAAACTATTTAAATAATAATTTGCATGTAATTTAGTGAACAAGAACATGAGTAGCGACAATTGAATGTATTTCTGCACAACATTACAGAATATCTCATTAAAATATGAGAACCATATATTAAACAGTTAATTTGTAAAATAACGATCAATTGTCTCAATTTGATTGTTTCTTCTGCAAATATCAGTTCATAGTCTCCGATTATAATTGTTCATGCTTTTTTGTACCAACTGCGTGCCGTTTCCGTTCTCTCCTTATCGATCTTCTACTAAAATACATTTAATACCCGACCATATACTACTTATGTAGATATCAGTAACACACACCGCAGTAAGATGATGGAGTTTGTCCTATGATATTAGTTTTATGTCATCCAAAAGTGATCTCTTTTTACATAATTTCTCTTTATCTTATTCAATAGTTAAATGAGAATAAAGTAAAGTTGTATTATATTATTTTATTTTAGTTTTTATAATTTTGTTTAAAACACTCCAATTTCAAGAAAATCTTAATTTTTGGAATTAAGTTTTGTGATATGATAGACTTAAGTTACTTAAATATGATTCATATTTTAATCTTTTAACTAACAATAGGTTTACGTTAGCTATACATATCACTAACATAACAGATTTATGTCATGATTAATTTGTACTATCAGTTTATTTGTTAAGCCCATATACTTTATTCTAGTTGCTGGCCAAGCCGATTCGTCTGTCATGAGTCATATTTTGATCGTGTTCATTATTCGCTTATTAACCTTGGCTATACTTTTATGTGAGCATATATGTGTACACTTCGTATCTTATTCATCATATGTCTGTCACTCATTTTTTTCCGACTATAAATGTTGATTAACGCTCGCTTAAATCGAATTGGCTTCCCAGCCATCTCCAATACGCATCATCTTTCGCCTCGCTAGTGAGTTGGCTTCCCAGCCATCTCCACTGCATGTCATTTCCGCCTCGTTCACTTCCTTCGCTTATTCGCCTGTTCACTCGCTCGTTATTATTTGCTCAGGTGTTGCTAACTTTTTGACCTGAGTTATTCGACAATAAACTGTAGTTGCTGCTATCCTTTGTCTTCTGATTTTACGCGCCGTTAAGATTAGAATTATATCGGTTATCGAAACGAACGATTAACGAATCGCGGCACTACAAATTAGAGAATAGTTCTGTTGCTGAATTCTATACTTAATTGAATGCTTTGTATAAACATAAACTTTTATTGGCGAAATGTATACAGAAATCGTAAACAGAAGGAACTATCTGTTCATTAATATCAAAATTTGTAATGTTTATTTGATTTATGTTTGCTAATTATATAACACACAAATTCTCTCAAATGATTGTCTTTATAAGTAAAAATCATTCATCAGATCTTGTGAAGCTAGGTTCTTCGACCTCTTATTTCATATCCTATAAAAATAGTTTAACAATATCTTTTTCATTATGCCTAGAGATAATTAACATTGAGTGCATGATATATACTATAATGGAACCTTTTATCTATAGCACCCTTACAATATCAAAAGGTTTATTATTATTATTTTGTGTCACTTATATGTCACTCATATAGAACCTGGAAGCACTGGACGGCCGTTTCGTCCTATTGTGGGACCCCTCAGCAGTGCGCATCCACGACCTCGCCTCGCGAGATTCGAACCCAGGACCTACCAGTATCGCACCAAAGCACTTAACCAATAGTCCTAGGTTCGAATCTAGCGAGGCGAGATCGTGGGTGCGCACTGCTGCGGAGTCCCACAATAGGACGAAACGGCCGTCCAGTGTTCTCATGTTTTCCTTGGTGGTTTATCTTCAATCGAGTAATGCTTTCAACTATACAAATACTAAATCTCCACAAAAAACCCCTTCCGACTATTCGATTTCCCTTAAAATCTTTCAACAAAATCCTTATAATGACGCAATCCGCTCAGAATGTACATTAACCAAGAAAAAAAGTTGATTCAAATCAAATCCTTAACATCAACAAGTGAGGGATTAAAACTTATACGAATGAATAATTGCTGTAATGAAAAAAAAATTAAAAGAATTATATTTCAGTTTTGTATGACAAAAAAGATAAGTTTAACATAACTATTTGTTTGGGACTGGTTATCATATATTCTGTATTGATGATCATAATACTGATAACATCTATCCAAACATTTGGTTATGTAAATTGTTAGACTTTTTAAATGAATAACGACTACTGAAATTATATGCACACAACCTATATGTTAACCATACAGGTGGTTTAGTGGGATACAATGACTTATTCAAATTATTTTGTAAATGTTCACTTGTTGTACTGTAAAAAGTAAATGAGTCAGTGAAAAGCTCTCAATCAACTATTTTTGCTTTTGCAAAATTTTTCAAAATTTTGTCTTGTATTTTTGCTTTCCCCTATGCTATGGTCCCGTTAACCTTTGATGTAACAAAAGTTTTTATCCTGATCTTGTTTTCTATTTCAAATGTATGCCATTTATTTAGTTTCTTTATACACATTATTGTGGATTGGTCAGTGATTTTAACCATCAGTATTGTTTAGGTTTACTATGTAAGGTGAAAATTATACCCACAACCACGTTGCCTAAAAAAATCATGTAATTTATAATTTACTTGTTCAGTTACTCAGTTCATCAAATGTTTCTTTTTCTATAAGCATAAGACTGCATTACGGTGACATCTAGAAATAAGATGAGGCTGGTGACTTGGGATCCCGGATAGTTTTTAAATCAGGTCAGCGTGTAATAGGAGGTGTTATCACCAAATGACATCCACAATTACTAGGCAGCCTAGTAGTAATTTGTTCACACGTATTGGTAATGTTTTTTCCAGCCGTAGATTGTCTTCAGTTGATAGTTGATGGTGTTTTATATTTCAGTTTGTTTGATGTTTATATCCGTGCAGAAAATAATCATTTAACTGATACATAACGATATTAATTGTAATTAATGCAATTAAAATATTTCACAAAATTTTCTAAAGCTGAGAACTATGGCCTTAGTTTATCAATAACCAAGCATTTATAACACTCAATGTTTTCGAGTTAATTAAATACTAAGTAAAAACAGACTATGACTATGTTACAAATAGAATTCGGTTATAATTCAATAACAATCTATTCTGCCTATCAGTATGCCTTGATACTATAAAGACAATCACTTTGGCAACAGTTATCACACAAATTCCAACGGTTTAAGAGTTCAGAAGACAATGATAAGAGGCGACTACAGTTTATTGTTGAACAGCGCCGATAAAAAATTACAAATACATAGGACGAATTACAGCAGAAAGGTCAATTTGTGTGAGCGAGTGAATACAGAGACAGATATACAGTCAACTCTAATCAAGACCCAAAGAGGTAAGGTAGAGGCTAAGCTTGGCGAGGCAAAGGGAAAGCAATTATTACCATTCAAGCATATATCAAGAGGTATTTAAGTGATTAACATTCAAGGTAGAGTAAGAAATATGTGAGTAGACTGTCACATGTGATCAAGTGTACACGTTTATACAGACATGATAGTGATCATAATAATACAAAGAAATAGACAAATCGTTACTGTTCAAATAATACTGTCTGTTAAACAAGTTAAGTGAAGGGCTCGACAAAATTGACCGTAAACAAACTTAACTGTAGAAGAGTTGCTATAATGTTATGACATTAGTTGTTTCATTCAAAAACAACCATTAAATGTATTCACATCAATAAAATAATTTAATTTTCATGTTATATATTAAATACTTTAATATATATTAACTAACCTGATCATTTTGTATATCCCTATCCATATTAGATAACAATTGAAAATTACATTGTTGTATCCAATATGAAATAACTGGTCGAAACCATGTATACCAATCGAAATCAGTTAATTTCTTTGGTTCACTAAATAAATAAAATAAATAATGACTAGTAGTTAATAAATAATAGTTAACTAGTATTTTCCATATTCTATTTAATGGACAATTTGATTTTCAAAACAGAAAAGATCCTTATGGTAAACAGATGACAAGATAAAGTTTATTAACCATGATAGTTTTTAACTTGACTGATAAACAGTTGAATAAAAGAAAGTTATTATTATTATTATTATTGTTGGAGTTAAGTTATAAAAACAATTTTTTCTTTCAGTAAACATTAGATAAATAGAACAATTAATTGTATATGGCAGATGAAATTGGATCTAATTGTTGTTGTTTTTTCCTAGAAATTAACACGACAATAAGAAGAATATAAAAACTGTGATGTACATATATCCGATTGATTTATAAGAAATTTAATCAGATCATAAAACTGTGCAATCATCAATTGTTTGTATTTTATCATTTTATATAATCAGCTGAACGCTAAAGGTCAAATTAAAAGTAAACAATATACATGAATTATCAAAGAAGTCATTATGTGAATACAGTTTAAACAAAAATAAAACATTTTACTGATGAAAAACGAAAATTTTAAAAACAATATTTCATGGAAACAGAATTGTTTCAAGCAAAGATGGATGGTGGCAAACTATAGAATCCAAGACACGTGTTTCGTCCCATTTGGAACTCGTCAGCTGGATATACCTGCATCCCAGAGTTGATATTCATTGCAGGAAACGAACTCAGTACCGTTCGCTTAAAACGCCATCATGTTGTTCAATGAGGTACTGAATTCAGATGGCTTATACTACGAGGTGAAGTTTGTTTCATTGAATGGGTAATTTGAATCTTACCATTGACGTTTAGAATAGCAATCGATCAGTTTCTTATCCGCATATGTGCTTCGATATTGCCTTAGGTAATAAGCCTTATAAGCAGAGATCGTTTTCCTCTGCTAATTATCTTCAGTGTCAATTAAAGTTTACAGTAAATGATTTCATTGTTAAATAATTTTGATATGAAATGATAATTAACAATTAATTATACTAACTGAACTTACTTAGATTTTATTTTGATATCGAACATATTTTCAAACTTTTTAAGTAATAAATAAAGAACAAATAATGATTTCAATTCTATTGATTTTGTTAAACATTGTTTCCCAGTTGACAACGAAGATTTAGTTTCCAATTCTTGATTTATTATTGGTAGTACTAAATTTTGTAGAATATTGATTTGTATGCAATCATGATGTAGCTAAAATGTGATAGAGATATGAATGATAAATAAGGGAAAATGGTAAATTGATTTCTTAAATGGTTTGGAAATCTTATAGACTGTAATACTTGAACACATTCTCTTAGATGGAAAGACTTCAGAAATGGTATTTTATAACAATTCCGTCTATAGGGTTTCCATAAGGCGAAAACTTGTTATTACTGTGCAGAAATATGTAAATCTAGGTGATAAACGCAATATCAGAACAGTTTATATCACATTCACTGTTTTCTACCTAAAAAATCATACTTGGTGAGATGCTGATGGGTAATCAAATAACTACTCATATATATTCAACATTCATTCTATTAATAACTCAGCTAGAAGATTCCCTTTGCTCAATTCTTATTAAAATATGATTCAGAAATTACATAAAAAGTCACTAAGGATAAATATATCGTCCTAGTTGTGTACTCTAGGAAACGCCTTTCGTCCTACTTCATACTTAGTGGGTGAAATGTCCCCGCATCCCGGTACAGCTGTTGGCACTTGGACTTGTATTATTAGCTGAGGTACTGCGATCTTCAAGTAAGATATTTATATTCTTGTTGAAAAGGCTTTGACACTCGAAAAACTTAAATCGTCCCTGAAACTTCAAAAAATATTCATTTTCAAGCTTGAATAAACCCACACTATTAAAAGGAAAAGATCATTATTACATCAGCAACATTATGATGCTAAAAATGACCAAAATATCTAAGATTGCTTAAATAACTCACAGAATTCGCATAAAATTTGTACATATTTATAAAAGGATCCAAATCCAGATATCTGTAATCAAAGAAAAAGTAAAAAATGTTGATCCAACCAGAGTATTTCATTATTTTCTCTAAATAAAGTATCGGTTTTATAAAAACTTAATTTTACATTGAACTGATTGAAGTATAAACAGATTATTTTTATTTATTTGAGAAAACGTTTTTAAAAAAAAGCCATTATTCTTGTGCAGGGTTATGATTTTTATCGTTTACTGTAGATCACAAATGAGATTAATCAAAGAAAAAGACACATTCTTCACGTCAAATTTTACAAATAAGCATAGTGAATGAAGTTTCAAAAAGTTCAGTATCATTTACATTAATTACATTGAAGTGCCAGAAAAATGTCAATCATTATACCTTATAGTTGCCATCACGGATTGACCTTAGCTAGACAACCACTGAGAACCAGAAAATCTTAGCTATTTCCTCTTGCTATTGGAAATCTCCAGATTCAGATGCCCATCATCTTAAGATATTGAGGCTAGCTCTTTAGGAGCTAGCCTCAAACGGTTCACACATTAGGTACTTACTGCGATACCTAAAGATCCCGGGTTAGATAGCTGGTAGGCTTGTGGATACACACAAACGAAGAGACTCATATTAGGACAAAGCAGCTCTCCACTGACAGTGTATTCAACTGTTATCTGATGAAGATATGTCTGTGATATCCTATGATAATCATTAAATCTGCTCAATGCGACGTTTTATAGTTATCGAGACAACTGTTTACCTATATTATACAATGAAGTGAGAAATGCATGAATCCAAACAGCTGCATTAAATTTCTGTTAGTCACTGATAACAAGTTTTCTTAATATGTGATAAATATGATAAAATCTCAAAATAATATTTCAAGAGCTCTTAAGTTAAAAGACATGTTTACTATGTTAGCCATCTGTTGTTATTTTGTTAAAATTTACATTTAAAAGATCAAAATGTATTAAATATAATTGTTTACTTTCAGATAAGGTGAAATGTGCTAATATGAGTTCATGAAGTTAGAAAAAAAATACGAAGAAACTTAGGTTAATCTGGACGATATTCACATGAAATAAAGTTTTTAGCTTAGCTGTTATGCATTTAGATTATTTAAAAAAAAACAATAATTTAAGAAATTATGATTAATGGTTTACTGTCAAATCTACAATAGAGTTGTTGACTTGATATTTTGTTCACTGCAATACTGATTATCGAAATTTCTTAGTTTTCCAATGAAAACTGAATAAAGTACGGATAAGTTAGTGAAACAATAGACTTTTCTTAGGTCAAAGAAATTATGTTGAGTTTAACATACGCTGATCAAAATTATTTTGCGCTATTCATAATAAACTTGTGTTCATCTTCGCCTGCATGAACATCAATTAGCAGTCAAACGCCACGACATATCTTCGCTCGTATCAATACACCTGGACAACTACGGACACACACTCGAATGGAAAAATATGGAGATTTTGGATAGAGGCAATTCCAAGCACATCGGAGAATTTTAGGAAGCTTGGCACTCAGGTCAATCGGCAATAAATATGCACATTGAAATCAATCAATCAAGAAAATTATGCAGAAACATAGGAACGAAAATCAAACCAATGAGAGATACAACCAAAACAAAGAAATAAACAATGACAGATTTAAGGTCAACAAGAACCAATCAAAATCGAGGTGTACAGGACAAGCTGTGAACTACATGTGGAGAAATTCGAACACTTCACTTCTACCGAAAGTTTGTGCTGATAATGTCGTTCAGAAGGACGATGAAAGCTCCACAACCAAAGCATCCTGCTCAGAGAACAAAGCTCCATCAAAATCACCCACATGGGCTAAGTTAGATAACCACCTAAAGACTGTCATATTGATGGAAACAGATCAAAGAGTTTTTTTCCTTTAATATCTACCATAACTACTATTAACAATGATAGCACTTTTTAAAAAAAATTATTCTTCGTAAAAAAAATTACAAAGTCCCATTTAAATTAGAATCATCACGTAGTTTTGTATTTACACTTATACTTTAATTGTTTTTTAAACCAAATGGATCTTTTTTTATTCTATCTTACATATATTCTTATAAGTTAATAATGTTAGGAATTCTCCTTTCAATACATATATATATATATATATATATATATATATATATATATTGAAGTGAATAATAACTTATTCAGTTGTAATATTATTTCTTTTTTATTCATTATGACTTCACAAGTCATTCAATTATAAATTCTATTATTTGTTTTAAACAAAAAAGTAACCTATAGCACAGAAAACAATACAACTATAACCATACTAATTATATAATATATATGTATAAAACTGTTTAGGTTTTCTTTTCTATTGTATATAAGAACCAAGATGGAATACAATTAGTATTATTATTATATAATAAGTTAATAACAATACTACTGTAGTGAACAGAACACTAGTTGGGGACAATCGAATGTTTTTAAGCAAACATTACAGACTATCTCAGTAAATTCTGATTACCAAACAATGAACAGTCAATTTGCAAATTAACAACCAATTGTTTCAATCTTAACTGTTTCTTCTCTAATTTCACTGCTTATGCATTTTCCAAACGATTGTGCTTCATTTCAGTTCTTTCCTCATCGGTCTTCTGCCAAAATACATTCTATGTCTGACCCACACCATATACTACTTATATAGATATAAGTAGACCACACCACACTACTAATAACACTATTATTAACATAAATAAGCAGTCAAATGAAATTAAATTGCATTATTCTGTCATTTATAATGAACAGTAGTTTATAAGAATTATATTCGTATATTCATTATCGAAGAATAGAATAGATAATCCATGATGGATACTATTATTACTACCAATGAATATATTACGAAATTGTTATATCGATCGCTTGTATGCCCAGTTGATATATATGAACGTGCTGATTCCCTCAAATGAGATAGCAGTGTTTTATCGATCGGATCAATAATACACAAAAGCCGTATGAACAATCTTGAGTACTTATCAGTCCTGCTTTCTGCCTAGCCCAGCCAGTTAGGTCGAGAACATCAATAACAGCCTCTGCAAAATGAATCATTATTCACATACTGGGTTTATATACCAAACAAACTGACCACATCGTACCACAAAATGGAAAATAACATTTGTACAAGATTTGGCCAAATGTGGCTGTGAATAGAGGGAACAGTAATTAATGGACTAGGGATAACTCAGAAGTGGTAAATCGTATAATAATAATCTATAGATCAAAATAAAGCTTATAATAAGATGGAAACGAATATGAATAGTTTAACTACTTAACAATAGTAAATATATATATATCACATTGATCCATAAATAGTTCTCAATGTTACCATTCATAAATCTCCACGGGATATAACAGAAATCATAATAGACAAATATATCTTCATATACTGGTTAATTAGTTTTATATATAAAACTATTCTTACTTTTTAATAATTGGTGAATAAACTTCACAACATTTTTCCAAATCGATAATCAATAATTTAATCAATAATATTAATTGAGATAATTCAAAATGTATAAACTCCGACTTCTAGTTAAAACAAAAATGAAAGTGATTCATCTTAGTAGATACATGAGTTACCATAACATTTTTTATCAAAATAGTCAATTAATTTGATAGAGATAATAACAGAATTCATTCTATAGTAATTGGTGATTGTTAAGCAATTGTATATTGTCTTGTTTGTTAAATTATTTTAAATGATAAACTGTTATATCTACATTTAAGTCTATTTCAGAATAATCTTTTGAATTACTTGTTAAGAAAAATCAATCAAACGAGCGTAAATATGAAGTACTAGGTATTATTGTGGTGTGGGCTACTTATATCCACATAAGTAGTATATGATGATGGTCAGACATAGAATGTATTTCAGCAGAAGATCGATAAGGGAAGAACGGGAACTTAATGCAATTTTTTAATGAAAATGTATGAATAATGAAATCAGACACCATGGACTGATATTTGCGGAAGGAACAGTCAAGATTGAAACAATTGGTTGATAGTTTGCAAATTAACTGTTTACTGTATGGCAATCAGATTTTAATGATGTTCTGTAATTTCGTGCCTAAGTGCATTCGATTAGCGCACATTCGTGTTCTTGTTCACTACATTATGTTAATTGAATGGAGCACTATATATACTGTACACAACCTTGTCAGGATAAAATATACAGTAACTATGACAGTGCATTAATAGCTTCTACCGATTATCTATTATCTTCAAAATCAATTAGGTGGTGATTCTACACAATAAGAAATAATTCGTTAACATTTGAATTATTGGACTTCAGTTGTCATTTTAATTTTTAAATCCTACATTCACAAATACTACTCATAAATATACATTAGTGTATCAGGTCTGTATCAGATCTAATTACAAACACAAACACAACTACACTGTAAACATATAGAATCCTAACGATAACCTATTCTCTTGGCAAAATTCTTGAAATACTATTTATTTACATTTCTCAAAGTAAAATAACTTTCTGTAGAAACCTTCTTTTTTTATTTTTCAAATAAATTTAATTGATGATTACCTTAAATTTAGTAAAAAAAAATAATAGAAAATAATTCTAGTTGAAGCTTTTTGGCCATTTTATTAATGTGACAAATTTACCGATATTTACAATTGATCGATCAATGGGTGGTGATCAGTGTCATGTATGTCAAGCCCTTCTTAGTGCACATCAAATCCTATCGATCACTGGTCTATGTAACTCGACATTGCGTGCATTAGGTTGAGATATGATGGTAGTGATAAAATAGAACTATACATGAAAATGCTGGAGACATTATTTTTTTGATCAGGTCAGGATACCATCCATAAAAAAGTGACAAAAGATCAGTTCATATACAGTAATTTACATTCTATATCCTTTTTCAACCATGCTTGCTGGCGAAAAATGTGAAATTTACATATTTTAAAAGTAGTAAGTGTTTGCTCTTAGAGATGAAGATGCTGTATTACTCAGTATATTAGCGAAACCAATATCTAACAATATGCATTACAATGAAATCTACACATCTATTTCATAACTTACATCAGTTTTTCCCATAACAGTTGTTTTGTGTTTTTCATAACGTGCAAGAACAAATTTCTAAAAAAAAGTCGAAAAATTTGAACGAAATACATTTTATTAAGAAAAATTTTTCTTTGGTGCACATAAAATACGAAGACAACAGTAGTTAATTTCACAACAATAAACTGTGAATTAAACTAAACAAGGTATATAATCTGTTCAGTGGTTGGAATGACAAAACGTATTCTTAGTATAATAACTGATACTGGTTTGATACTCGAAATACTGTCTCACGAAACAAAATCGCCTATAGATAGATAATATGTTATTGCTGGTATTACTAGCGTTATTTAGTCTTAAAGAAAAAATGAACTATTTAATACATAGTTGTATTGGTTGTTTTATTCCTCTCATTGATGTTTAAGATTACAATTAATTAATCTCATATTGACATGCGTGCATCCTCGATATGCCTCGATATTGCCTTAAGTCACAAGCATTACAAGTAAAGATGGATGGTGGCTAGCAGAGGAATCCAGGTCGCTGGTTTTGTTTTATTTGGGACATGTCAGCTAGATGTACCTGGATCTCAGAGTTGATGTTCACCCTGAGACTCGAACACAGTACCGCTCGCTTCAAACTCCATTGCATTATCTACTTAGCTAACAGTACTGGTTCGGGGTCTCAAAAGTGAACATCAACTTTGGGATGTAGGCACATCCAGCTGATGTGTGCCAAACAGGATGAAATGAGCGTCCTGCTTTCCACTACTTATCACCATTCATCTTTACTAGAAAATTTTAGTTGTATAAATACAAAGCATGTATATTAATTCTTAACAGATATTAATATGATGATATTCATGATGTGTAATCTGCACAAATTTGTATTTCGCTAATGAAAAAGCGTAAATTAATTAAAGAAAACATAAGTATACCATTAGCGCAAATGTCGAATTATCATTGTTATTATTATGACACTTTTTCTCAAATGTTTAATAAAAGGAAATTTGCAAATAGATGTTTTAGGTAAATGAAAGAAGCATGAACCACTTTTAAACTAGATTGTCATGAACAACTTTTGAGCATATAATTATTTATTGAAAAATATTATTTGTAACTAAAATTTTGATTAGTACCAGCTATTTAATGTATAATTTTATGTATGGCTATCAGTCTTAAAGCTAGTTTTTATTTATGATCAAAGATGGATGGTGGCTAACAGTGCAATCCAGAACGCGCATTTCGTTTTATTTCTGACTCGTCAGCTAGATGTACCTGCATCACAGAGTTGATGTTCACTCTGAGACTCAAACCCAGTACCTTTCGCTTCAAACGCCATTGCGTTATCCACTCATCTACTGAGTCCTGATAGCCACTTACTTGTGCAAAAGGGTGAAGTTTAAATTCACATGGTGTTGTTTGTTTTAATCTTTGCTTATAATGCTTGTGAATTAAGGCTATACCGCACTGTACGCACTGTATGCACATATGCCAATAAGAGACTGATCAACTGCAGTCCTAGACATCAATTGGAAGATTCAAACAAACAATATCAAGTAAATTTAGTTTTTATTTAGTTCAAATTGTAATAGTATTTTTTTCATTACATTATAAGTAAGAGTAACATTCTGCATTTGGTTTAATTTTTAGTGTATAAAATTATGGATTTTATAATAATATTTCCTATCCCCACCCTCCGAAAAACTTTATTGTTTTGCATCATAATTTTTCTTAAATTTATACAGTATATAAGGAATATTTGAAATTCAGAGATAAAAATTTTCCTTTCAAAGATATCATTTACTAAAGTTAAACATTAGTGTCTTTGGTGATTTGATGAATATATGAGTTGGAAGCCTTCCAGTAAGTATGCTGTATCATTGATAAAGGAAGAGGATATGACGCAGATGTGAAGGCATAAACTGATGAAACAAACAAAGCATTCACACAACTATAGAACACCTAGAATTCGAGAAAACTGACATTCAAAATGAAAATCAGAATTCTCAATACTGAAACGAAAACGGTTTTATTGTGTTTGGCTAAAAATGCGAAATTACCACAACCATCATCTAAAAGATACACTTATTTATAAACAACTATTTATGCAAGATAACTCAGGTTCATTGAACAGAGTTCATCAGGAAAAATCTACTCTTGCAGAGAACAAACCAGCTACCAGTGACTGAGAAGCTAGCGAATGACTCTGTGGGATGATAAAACAAATTTTACAGGAACGATCCCACTACTTCACAAAGCAAGCTCTTACTTCGAACTCTCAATGGAAAAAGAAGAGGAGCAAATAGAACTAAACATGACTCCAGCAATTGGAGCCATACAACTCAGGCCAGTGTTTGTTTGAGATCTTTAATTAACAGCCCATTACTGAAGAGAAGAAACATGTCTAAGTAAGTAGGTAAGTATGTAATAAATACATAAAACTGAAAAGGAATAGAGTTGGACTATATCACAAAGTATTTAGTGGTTTTAATTATCAAAAGACGACCAAGTAATAGTACAGAAGTTAAAGAATATAATGAAAATTTACGTGTCAAAAAGTTGAAAGACTATTGTTCAACACTATAAACACAATAGTACAGGTTTAGCAGATGATCTCATTGTAAAGAAAACTTCACTGAATTGTATTTATTCTCTACTCAATGATACAACGTGTAACTTTAATTATTCAGTAATGGTTGATGATTGCAATAAAGTTTTGTTAAGTGAAAAAGTGTAATCTAGAAAAAAAAGCAGCCATAGTTTACAATAGTGTCAGCCTTACATTTGCGTATTAAATACAAGACAAACCGAAGAGTAGCGTCCATTTTGATTGAAAGTTTAATTATTTTCTAACAATTAACTTATCCGATTTTTTGAAAGAAAAATACAACGATCAACTTTACAACAATTAACTACAAAAGTACAACGTGTAACATATAACATTCCATTATTAATTTATTATAGTCTACCTTAAATGATGTAAGAAATTCTTTTTGTAATGAATTAGAGAAAGGTGAACTGAACTGATATAGACGTGAATTATGCAACATACATAAACACCTTTAAATAATATAAAGTAAAAAAGGAATTGAACAATTGTATATAAAATAAAGAAATAATAAACATCTTTAAATGAAATTATCAATTTTCTTATTTAAGTTTTATTTAAGCACATAAAAATTGGTACAAAGGGTCACCAGATATATATGCGCCACACAAATCAAATGAGATTTGTGTGAGGGCTGTGATACTTCCCAGGTACCCAAACTGAAGCACGTGGTTTTCTTAAGGGCCACACTCGGAGCCTACCACCTCGATGTTTGATCCATAAGGCAGTGGAGCACCGCAAGGAGATGCAGTCCCATGGAAGCGGGTGATCAACGATCGATTCATACGCCATTTGTTCCCTCAGTATACTGGAGCCCATGTGCACCATTGGTTTGGAATCAGGGTTTTCCATCTTCTCTAGGTGAACTCGCTGTGTCCACCAACCCGGTTAAAGCACCGGACATTCGCTTTTCATCCTCTCAATTACGTAAATAACACCCGTGGCACGAGAAGGCAGTGAGTAGGACTTTCCTGGCAGATGCTGTATACGTGTGGCTATGTGAGAGCATTTGGAGAGGGAGAGTGGACTCTCCCAACTCTCGGCCGTACCAGGGCATTTTGGGGCAAATTATCAATCACCATAATTGTTTAAATCAAAATATAAAAAGAAGTTAGTTAAAACAAAATGAATTTCAATTATTTGTGTAGGTCGAAATCTTTTTCGATCTAATTTGAATTCACATGTGTTTGAACTATAAAATGAGTAAACAATTTAAATAAATTGAAATCTTAAAACGAAAATCTCATCACCAGGAAATTTATGAAGCAATAAATTTATTTTCGTGGTGGTATTCGTTACAGATCAATTTCAGTTGGCGAGCTGACTAAGAACTGAACAGCTGACACGCTCAACCATGAAAATATAAGTGAGAAATATAGTTCATTTTTGAGTTCGGATTAAAAAAGAGACCTAACAATTAGATCATCAACCTAGTCTCTGATGCAAATAACGTCTTGATATAGCTCGATAACTTACTCATTTCGCTGCTTGTTATTTCACATTTAAAATAGCTAAACAATGACCAGAATCTACTACAACTCACCGCACATATTTTGAAATAGTTACATATTCAAAATGGATATTCTGCAATATTCATTTTTATGTTAATGTAAACGTTTGTAATTTATTTGGTGATTGCGAAATAATACAAAAAAATTGGATGCCAACTCAGTGATCTAGAGGTTAAGTGCTTGCGCGCTAGACTGAAGGTCCTGGGTTTGAATCCCATGTACGGGATCGTGGATGCGCACTGGTGAAGAGTTCCATACTAGGACGGAACGGCCATCCAGAGCTTCCAGGTAATCAATGTTGGTCTAGCATTGATCCATTCATGATCTCAATCAAAAACTCAATAATCTTAACAACCCTATACGGATAAAAACATTTTACTTTTAATAAAGCTTGTATAAACTTTATTTGAGAAACAAATTTTATTTTGAAAATGTTCTTTCTTCCTAATGATTTGTCTGTTAATCTAATGAATCAGTCTGTAGTTCTATATAAGTAAATTAATAGAGTTTTAATATCCCAATGAGCAGAAAAATTAGGCTTTCTAGCGTTTCGTGACTCAATGCAGGCCACTTCTTCAGAGAATAGTTCTATGTTTTACAACAAAATTTAAATTAACATATCAAATTTAACATCAAGTAATATATAATTCATTGTTTTCAATAATTGGAAATTGTTCGTTCTGGAAGGAAAACAATCATTCTTTATCAGAAATAAATTGAAGCAAAATCAACTATTCATCATCAAAACAAGTTTAGTTTTTTGTTTCATGTTTTACAACTTATGGAAGGACCCTTTTTTAAACTAAACTCCATAGAGTTGACGTTTCAAAAGAAAAAAAATTATTCAAATTTGCTTGTATTTTATTCACAAGATTTAAGGTTAACAATGTTAACTTTTTCATGCTAATCAACTAATCATCTTCATTTACTTAGTCTTTATCCAGTATCAGTTTTACATTTGAATGTGCACACAATTTATATACAGCTTATCGGTTGGTTGTCATATTAATGTCTTATGATTTTTTTTTTCTGTATCATGAAAAGCAACTCGTATATCTCAATTTTAGCTGATAATGAAATCATTACTGCTTTATACTTAAACACTTTTGTTATGACTGTATTGCCAATCGTTCTATCTGTTTGTCGCTAATCATGTCAGAATCATTGATTACTTATACTTTTAAAACGAGTAACCACTGAAATTCTCACGACTTGAATTAAGAACACTAAAACTGATACGAGTGAAGATGTATTAACCTCAAAACACATTGACGACCTAATTAAAAAATGCACTCGTTTATTTATTGATAATAAACCTATTTTGATTATTAATTAGGATAAAATCACACGTATGAAAAATACCCAGGATTATAACAAATCACATGCTACATGTCGTGCAAAGTATAGTTCATGTTAACTTAATGCTACATGAATATCGTATGATATCCCACTGGAATACAAAACCGAATGTTACATTAAGTAATTATCACATTGAATTAAACAAACGGAAGTAATGTTGAACAAAAGTTACATTAAGTAAAAGAATGTAATTTTGTCTTTTCATCCCATCATATCAACTTTATAATGACAATAACGTCAATAATCAATGTTTACGATTATACTATAATAAATATAAGTTATAAGTCAATCAGTCAGCTACAACATAGCAGCAACGGTCAGGAATTATAAGTTATAAACATCAACAAAATTAAAATAATTAACTTACTCAAGTAAATGATTTAAATCCAATACATTTTCTGATTGAGCATTATAGAAGATTAAATTATAGTTACATATCATAATTAAAGAATGTTCTGTAAATACTTTAAATGAATCTGATAAATAATTTAGCTACAATATAAAAAATAACATTCAAAATTTGAATATGATATTTAATTAATTTTAACATTTTAAGTGTAATCCACTTGCTGTCCTTTATTAAATGGATTAATAAAGATAGTACTTGGTAAATGTGATGTTAAATGTAATGAAAATCAACTAATATCGACTGAATAGTTATCTACAAAAGTATAGAATACCATATGTACTCATTTCATATTCATATAAGTAAAGATAAAAAACACAATCATCTGAAGTAAATACCTAAGAGTTGATTCAGAAATGAACATCTTGTGTAAGTGGAGTATGTATATTGTACAAATCAGAATATGGAAAATTAACAGGTAGTTACACTTCTCTTGAGAAATATATCAAAGATCATAAATTACTAATTCAGAGCATTATTTAGCTCACGGTACAGTAATTATAATTTATTCAACATTATGATTATCGAAAGACACGATGCATACAGAAAGCAATTTAGACGTTATTAATGACACATATTGTTATAACTTTGTGCAAAACCTTATTATACAAAATAGTCTTTATCCGTATCTCTATTTACTAGAGAATCAGTAAATCCTGAATTATTACGAAAAGTCAATTGATAACTTTTGTAAATTAATCTCATCATCATGAGAAAGATTCTAAACTCAATAATCTTTAACAGACAACTCTTTTATGTCCAGGACTCTTCATTAGTATGCTGCTGAGGAATCGACATGAATAACATGTGTTATTGCTTAGTAACTTGGGCTGCCCCCCCGATACTCAGATCACTAGGTTCAATTACAGTTTCAAATAGAGTTCATACACAATATATTCTGTTAATTAATTAATGTCATTGGTATGTATCCGATTTACTAATGAGGTAGTTCAACATAACTAGTCGTGTATGTCCACTGGAACATCAGAAATCCATATAGAAATAAGTCGCTAGTGAACATATAACTATTATCTATTTGTTTCGCAAAAACTGACGGAACCAGATCAGTATTTGTATCACGAATGGTCATATCATCGGTCAAAATGAAACAAGTGAACATCGTTTTACACTGATTCTATTGAGGAAATTGTGGGCTTTAAATTAATAACACAGAAGATATTTACTAAACTGATTGACGAGATGCACTGGATTAAACAGTTGTCTAGAAATACGACAATGTTATAGAATAAGAAGAAAGGAAAATTCCTTTCCGTATCCATTTGAAACCAGTTGTAGTGTAATTACCAAAAACAATCAGTCTCAAGCCAGATAGACCGAAAATGGTATTGGAGATTTAAGTAGCCCATTTCAAAATAAATTGGAAGCCTTTTATATAAAAAAATTATCTAAGAAAAGAGTATTCTAAGATGCTTGCAATTTACAACATTCATCTCAATAACTGAGTTTTAGATTCTTTATGAAAAACTTGAAAATTGACTGTAAGTTGTGGCGTACTGTGCATATGAACTCTGCTTATTTTCCTAAGCATTTCTATTATGTTCATAGATTTCGGAGGTCAAATAAGTTAGAATAACATGCTGATTGTTAGTACATTTGATGTGAAACTAAAAAACTTGTGATCTCCTTAATGAAACATGAATCAGAAATAAGAAAGTGTTAACGCTTGATGAATATAAATTCATTAACAAATATTTCATAGTACAGACTCCATTAAGCAATAAATCATTAACTGATATAGTGTTCGCTACTGACGTCGACAGATATAGGTAGTATGTATCACCAATCGAAAATGGAATGTCTGGAGGCAGAAGATTTAAAAATTCGAAGGGAATAGAACGAGAACAGTGAGTGATTAGTATGGAGACGAGGCGATAACAAAGTCTGAGACAAATGATGGACGTTTTGCAGATGTAGTATTGACTGTATGGTTCTCAGATTTTACCAAGATATTCTGTAATGTAGCTTTTTACCAAACCAACTATCATGTAAGTAATTTCATTGTCACCAAAATGTATTTGGATCAGTATGATGAAAAAAATAGTCATACTGAAAGGATAATTTGTAAAACATAACTCAAATGAACAAATGACTATGGTTCATAGCATATTTCTGCTAGAAGATTATCGGTGAATTTGAACTTGTTTGTCGTTTACAGTTTCTCAATACATTAATGTAGATAACACTATTCTACTATTCTATTCAAATCAACCATTCGATTAGTATAAGTATGATTTTTACATTTTTTATATATCCAACTGTCATAATTTCGTTCTTCAGGTAGCGTGATGACTTATATCATTTTCTGTAGTGAAATATTTGAATAATAATATTTCTGATAACTATCTATATAGAACAATAATTAATATCATTATGAATACAATGGAAAATTTTAATATACTCATTGTCTTCTCAGTTGTAAACATACTTCAATGTACATGAAGTTTTATAAGTTTATACAAAACAAAAGCATTTAGGTAATGATCATAATTGTGAAACAAACGTTTGATTTTCCAAGAAATGCTGTATTAAGGATAACAAACTTAAATCTGTTAGTAATACATCTTACCTCTTCTCTAGTAAGTAGTTTGTCTGACCATAATGATATAAGTTGTTTGAACGTATGTAAAAGAATGATTTGATCCAATGATCTAGTATAATTTAATCGAATCAATGCTATCCACTGACTGTAAATCAATAAAATAAAAAAAATGTCTAAATGATTTAGTATTATAAACTTACGGTTAAATACGTTTTCTTTCTTAAGCAAAAGTATTTTACAATCTAAAGTTACTGAGTGAAAAGAGTTATTTTAAACTAAGCAAATTAAGAATTTTTATGATATATATAATGAAATATGGAATGACTACTAGTAGCTAAAGTGTCTAGTGTTATAACACCAACTCTTACTTGAACAAGCTCTTAAATGCTCAATAAGTGTATATGCATTTACAAATATTTTTACAGTAAGCTGATAACTCATTTTTTTAAGTTAGTAATTTGAACTGTTCCAAATGTTTACGTTAAAAAAAAGGTACTCAGGATAGTACTAACTTAGTCTATTTGGGTTGGATGTTTTAATCGTCGAATTATGTACATTCTGAAAATTAATTAAACTATGAATATGATTATCTTTGAAACTTTTATTAACAAACAGATATAAAATGTTCTGTGGTCAGTGTCAAGTCACATAATGTTATGGCTGATGTTCAGGATTTAGTTCCCCTTAATTAATTAACTGAAGTACGTCAAACAGTCATACTGTAGTGAACATGAACACGAGTGAGGACAATCAAATGTATTTTAGTACAACATTACAGAATATCTCATTAAAATATGAGAACCATATAGTGAATACTTCAATTGCAAAATGACAATCAATTGTTTCAACTTGACTGATTCTTCTTCAAATATCCAACCATAGTCTCCGATTATAATTGATCATGCATTCTTGTACCAATTGCGTGCCGTTCCCGTTCTCTCCTAATTGCTCTTCTACTGAAATACATTCAATGCCCAACCATCACCATTTAGCACTTATGTGGATATTAGTAACCCATACCACAATACAAAGAGCAGTGTCATCAGAATATCCAATTTTCTTAGCGAATATTAATTTATTCTGTATCATATAATGAAATGGTCAAAACAAAAGTAATTTACTCATGTATGATAAACAGTAACATGTTTCCTATTATTTATTTAGTTAAGCAAACTGTATACGGAACATTTTTCCACCGTCAATTGGATTAATAAAAAAACAACATTGAATCAAAACTTTATGCGTCACATACCTCTTAACTAATAACCTAATAACCTAATAAGAATAGTTAATTTCTAAATTGAATCATTCAGTAGACTCCTCAAAATCGTAATGAATTACTTCATGGTTAATAACATGCAAATAATTTAGATGAAGACAAAGAATTTAGCTCTAAGTAATGTCTCTTTTTTCAAAACAAATTATTAAAATATATGTAACTTACCACATAGCTACTTGAATTTCTGTCAGCCCATTTTGAATAGCATGTTGATGAAGAATAATTTCACCTTCCTCAACTATATTTCCATTCCATGGTATTCCAGTACTCTAAATGAATAATGATGAAGATTGTAAAAACAACACATAATAATACTGATAAGAAATAGATTTTCGAGATATTACACCGAACACGCTAGATTTTAAAATGATGAAGTTATATATAAAAGTGTTTATATACATTTATTATGATATACGTAAGAATGGCTGAATAACGTGTCCAATGTGATGTATTCGTAATTGGCTCAATATGGTCAATGGTTTAATAATAATGAAACATTTTATACTCATTTTGAAATCTTGAGTAGTTAGGCCTTTAAACATTTTCACAATGAAAGTTAAATCAAGACAGAAAAGCAAATTTAAAGTGTACTAATTATTTTACATTAAGATTTATTAAAATATAAAGGTAGAAAAAGCAGTGGGTTTTCTACACTGTCGTGAATGATTATGTTGTTGCATTATTCGTTCGAAAGTTAAACATTCTATTATCTAGAATTAATGGTAAAGAGATAGTACCATTCAGGGAACTCAGTAAGTTAGTCACAACGTAGAACTTTGTACGTACGTACATCAGTTCGAGTTGCCATATCACATTAACACGGAGATGCAGTCGTCGATTCAAACCTCATAGTGGCTAAAGTAGTAAGAGTATAAGCAGTAATCGGAAAGATTAGGGCACGACCATAATGTTATAATTTTTATGATACAATTCCTAGTACATTTGAATCACATAGAAACTTAAATATGAAATAAGTACAAAGTGTCTCATCATTAGTTACTCCAGAAAAGATGACATTTGACAAAAACGAAATTAAAAAGACTTCAAAAAAGTGGTTCCAAAAATAACCGTGATTGTTCCCTTTTAAGATGACAAAGAAATGTTACACAACATATTATTTCACCAAACAAAATGCACTAAGATTCATATAAAACTTTGAAATTTCAGTATTTCAATTCCTGATAATGTACTTGAATAAAAATCTCTGTAATTGTGTACAACATTTGAATACTTTGCCTTAGTAAACTAGTCAAAACATACAGTGAAAAGTTGAATGTATACGATTATTTAGTTCGTTGTAATAACCTGACGTAGCTCATTACAGGTAACTTAACTACAAACTATAGTAATCAAATATATTTTTACGACTGAATAATGTATAAATGTCCAATTCTGTAGAGGAAAACAGTCTTAATCTACCTTTCTCTATATATATTATGTACAAAAAGAACTTACTAGTGTTATATACCAACTAATGTTATACTCACCATTATATTTATGTACATATTATATTTATTTATAGTTTTAATGAAACAGAAAACGTTACTGAATGTTTGATGATGCAATCACTATAAGCGATATGTTTTTAATGGGTAGAGGATATAAAATATTTTAATAAAAGTAAATGCAAACTGTTAACACTTCATCTTATAATATTTAATGTATCCATTCAGAAAGAATAAGTAATTAGTTGTGGTCATGTAATGTCTCATAAACACATTGCCTTAAACAAACAATACTTTTTTAATAATGGTTGTTCTACAAATTTGTATGTTACAGCTGTATTTATTGCTTTTCTAACATAGAATGTTGTCCCAGGTTTTTCCTGGTGGTCTAGCTTCAATTAATTCACGCTTTCAATTATGAAAATACTAAATCTCCACAAAAAACCTTCTGATAATAATAATTATATGCTCAGTTGTGACTGACTTCGAGAGGTAAATCCAGGAGTTCTAGTGAGAAGCAGTGACCAGTGGAGTTCAAACTATGTCTGTTGTGAGATAGAAACTCACTGAAGATAATTGATGAACGGTTGCTCAACGTCATGAATTGGTTGGAGTTAGACATAAACACTATTTGATGTCGTCTCAGTGGTCTGTCTGTTAAGTGCTCTGGCGAGAACTGGTAGGTCCTGAGTTCGAATCTCGTGAGGTAAGGTTGTGGATGCGCACTGCTGAGGAGTTCCACAATAGAACGAAACGGTATCCTATACTTCCAGGTTTTCCCTGGTGATCTAGCTTCAATTGACTCACGCTTTCAACTATAAAGTGTAATAGTCCTTATCAGTACAAAAACTTCAATTGGAAATTTAACAGTTAAACTATCTAATTAGTTATAGGCATAGATTGTACAATTTCTAACATAATGAATCGTTACCTTTTAAACAAGAGATCATATCAATTATATTCTGAACATATAATGTTTATTTCGTTATAGTTCTTAAAGTAATGAAAAGTCAATATAATTTATTTTGTCATTATCAACTGGTAATATGTTGTTTACCTATCACTACATACGTTGTTTATCAATTCTGTCTATAGAAAATAGTCCATATTGATAATTAATCAATATGACTGGTGAATAACAAGTGTACAATAAATGTATCCTTGTTTCCATGTTGAATATATATGAATAATAAATGCTTTTAAAAAATGTATATAGTAAATATATGAACTTAAGATAACAAATAGATCAGTCAAATTAAAACAGGACAATACTGGTAGTAAACTTATCACGCAATAATTTGTTAAACAATTTTGTTTTCTGTTTTTTCTAAGCGTATGAAGGTCAAATAATCTAACCAATGGAATTTTTTTTGGGAAGAACAAAACATTAAAAGGATAAAGGGAGATTAAGAAAGAAAAAACATCACACCGATTTTTTTTTAAAAAAAGAAACATGAAATCGATAAATAATTTTTTTTTAAAGTAGATTGATTAACGATGATATTGTTTTGAATCACATAATGATTGTTTTTTTTTGGTCATTTATTAACTGAAGAAGTGGCTTACACTGAGTCACAAAACGTCAGAAATTCTAATTTTTCTGCTGATTGGGATATTACAAGCATATTATTTATTTTTAACAATCTACCTTATGCTCAATTTATTTGAAATTATCAAACCAAAACTTGGTAATGATACCTACAACTCGTTATGTAAAACAGTTTAATTTTCAATGAAGGACTGATTACCATGACGCTCAATGCTGATTAGCGTTGGAGAGTGTTGGAAGGAAGTTCAGAGTAGCCAAAATGAAACATGGCCTTAGTTCTTGAAGTCACTAACTTCTGGTTTGATCCATGTTGGTGGATGTAGACTGTTTAGATGGGATCCTCGCGACTATCGTTATCAGTGGTCGGAGACTCTGGGTGACATGGTTAAGAATCGATCACAATGACTTAAGTGAATACAGAATCTTTCCTTAAACTGTGAGATTAAAATAACTTTACACTTTTCTTTCTACTAACTAGTTCTTCCTCTCTGGATTGTATCTTTATATTCGATCTTTCTTTTATATATTATTACCATTGAAGTAACTACTTCCATGAATATGGTGTTCACGTTATCGTGACGATGAGGTGTGGCAACTTAGACCAACGCACATATGTGCCTGATTCTACGTTGTAGCTGACTAACTGACAGAAATTATTCTTTCTTGTTCATGAAAAACAGGAATTGCTAATATATATATATATATATATATATATATATATATATATGAAAAGCTTTTCGAAAGTATAGTGAGCTTTGTAAAGTATGATAACAAAGTGGTCTAGAGATTAAGCGTTTGCACACTGGACAGATTGTCCTGGGTTCGAATCCCACCTGTGAGATCATAGATGTGCACTTTTGAAGAGTGCCATACCAGGACAAAACGGCCATCTAGTGCTTCTGCGATATAATGGTGGTTTAACATCGACTGATTCATGATCTTTATCGAATACTTAACAATCTCCACAACCACAAACGGATAAAGTTATTACCTTAATACTCCAAGAAAACAAGTGCTATTTCACTACAAATTTAAAGTACAATCCAAAGAAACATAACGTTGTTTGCATCCATGTGTGGATTACAACTGCAAAACCATAAGTATCTCTGAGGTTCTTTTATTTAAGTCCAATAATCACAACTTTGTTATGAACGAGAATACAGGTGAGGACAATAAACTGTATTTTAATACAAAATACTTCATTTGCAAATCCTCTATCAATTTTCTCAAACTTCATCGCTTCTTCGTTGCCATAACAATTACTTTCTTCTCCTGTTCTTTTTGAATCAATCTTCCAAACGTTCGGCTACGAGTAATTTCACTTTTGATTGGTGTCATATACTACTTATATCGACATAACCAGCATACACCACAACTTAACGTTGTAAGAAAGATGAGGTCACCACCTAATTTTATTTTATTTATGAAGGCTTTTGTTTCAATTTATTTCAAATAAAAATGAAGCATCAAACGACATAACACGTGTAAACACTATCAATTGCCAGTTCTAATGAAGTGAATACTGTATTGTTAACATTTTCGGCTGTTTCTTAAGGTGTATTCAATGACCTGTGCAAACTATGTGGGAAGAATTATATTTGTTTATTTGTTTCCGCTAACGTTATACAAATCCTAATGAATGTTAATAACCGAAAATGACATTTCACTCAATCACAAAAGAATTATTTACACATTAATGGAACTGGAAAGTTACACAAAAGAAGCGTAAGTGATGCCTTAACCTAGGACATAGCATTCAATTCTCCTTACAAACAACATGATATATTTTAGACGAATATTATATAATCAATACTTAGTTGTCTAGAAAAGAATTTCATGTATTTACCAATTATGCAAACATACTTCTAAAAACTAAGTAATATCCGTTTGAAACAATTAATCCCTGTGATAAGTTTGGATGATGCAATGAGAAATCGAAGGTTATCAGAATTATGTAATATATTTGCTCAATAAATTTCACTTTGGTTACACATATACTTGTTAAGAAAGTTTATATATGAAAAATAAAAGTTCAATCTTTAATCTTCTTATTGCATTATCCAAGAAGGATCAGTTTGTTAAGTGTGAGAGAACATATGTGTTCCGATACTAATTTGTGTTCTTTCAACTAAGATATAATATATTACGTATTTTCATATGTCCGATACTTATATGTGATAAATTACCACAAATTAATAAGTATATGTATAATTCATGATCATGAAGTATGCATGTATACATTTTCATTGTTTTCAAATACTCTAAACCAATCTATCTGAATTGAATAATCATTAATAAACTAGAATAACTCAAAATTGACTTAGAATTACTTCTTCCTTCTCATTATGAATATTTTTGCACTTAAAATGGTATAAGTAGTTTGGCTAAATGTATCTTGCTCTTTTTATCGTATTCAAAATACTTAACAAATATACTTGTTAAAACTCTTTATTTTGAAATGGTCTAATATAAAGTAAGCATATATTTTCTTTTTATGAATAACTCAGTAATTTCATTATACATTACTTCTTTTGATCCAGCTACAGTGCCAAATCCTTTGATAAGAAATTTAATGTATTAAAGTCCACTACAAAACGATGAACTTATTTTTAGATTCCCCTAATTAACTTAGCCTACAAATAAGGTAGCGTTTTACTGCTTATATTTGTGACTTGTTTAATTCATTATTGATAATTATACCTGATGTGATTTGGAAGAAGTATAACTGAAAATTTAGTGTTATACAATTCATACTACTCACAAAAGTTATCAAAAAACAGAAGAACGATTATTATCGAGTTAGGAAATGTCTAAAACATAACATTTAGAAAAGAAGAACAACTACGCAAATGCTGTTTAACAATTTCAGATCAACTTCGTCTTGTCATTTATAAAAAGGGATCAACTACTTTAAATATTTATATATTATAAGTGGACAATATATTACTTATATTAGAACTACCGTCTAAATTAGAGCGAATAGTTTCATAGTATTCGGTCGCCAACTTGATGTAAGACATTTAATATGAATAATATATTTGTAAGTAAATCCAACGTTTCGCCTGGCAATCTGGTTCAAGCTTTTTTAAAGGAAATACTCTACTTTATTTTTCATATAGAACCAATAAGATCTTAATTGAAGTGTTAATTAAAATGTTACAAATTAAATAAACTTACATTTTCTTGCTTTAATTGATAAAGTGAAAATAAATAAAATAATTGAATATGTTCTTGAATGGCCACAGTTTTATCACGTTCAAATTCATTTAAATCATTTTGTGCACTTAAACTAAGCGCTAAATGAATTTCACCTTGAACTTTTGATCGATTTGAACGACCTTCCAATTTGAACCAACTATCTAAACCTGTAGATGGTATATCCTACAATACAGTTAGATTATAGAATTAATATCCGTTGTTGATAGAAGTGATTTTTAAAAAAAAGAATAGTTTACATTTTTAGGAAGTACATCTGATCTTTAAATTAGTTGAGTGTCACTTATACAAATAGGAAATAAATTCGAGCTATGAGAACATATATAACCTACTTCAAAAGAATGAGCTTTCTCATAACGTTATTTGGTTTTTGAAATCAAGGGAATCAGAAAGAAAACTAGTTGATTATTCTAATGAAATTGAATCATAATAAGCACACACCACTCCCTGAAAATTTACTACAACCGTTCAATTGTAAACTGTTATACATCATTGTAATAACGAAATACCCTTTGTTCTTATCTGTATTTAAAGCTTCTGTAATCGCTGAACTATTACCAATTATTAGTTGTGATTTCGCTAGTGACGAAACATAAGTAGGTATCTGAATTTCCTTATTCTCGTAATTTATAAATGTTAAGAGATAAAGAACTAAGAACCAAAGACCATAGTAAGAATATTACTAAATTCATACCACTTTAAATATATTTCAGTGTAATTTCAGCGAGTTTTCTACCCATATCCACATATCAAAAGTATGGAATTCAAGAAAGTAATCATAGAATTAATAATACAGTTCAGGTATGAAATGTGATGTAAACATCTAAAAAATGTTCGAAGATGGAAGTGTTAACAATGGTGACAATGGCCATTAATTAACAAATTCATCTTTCAGTTAGACAAATTTCATCACTGATCATTGTATGAACAATTAATATGCCTTCATCTATAACTATCATTCTGACTAAATTTCATACTAAATAAGAGATGACTGACAAACAATGAATACCAATATTGTTTATATCTGTGTAAGTTATATCTATCAGGTATCTTTTATTTGAACATTGAATGATATAAATGATCCTCATCAACACCAGTCACTTTTAACTTATGAATTCAAAATAGCTATTGAAAAGAATACCAAATAAAATATCAGCACATTTCCAGCTCAAATGTAACAGTCTAGTAAAAACACATTAAATAACATAAACTGGAAACAAATTATTATAAATAAGTTGTATTTGTCTATGGTTGATTAATTTGGTACATAATCTGTTAACTAATGAGAATCTATTGAGGTATAATGATAAATCATTAGATTATAATAGATTATTAATGACGGGTAACTATTACGTCACAATCATTATTTAACAACCGTTGAGATGAAATACATTAATTCATAAAGGTTCAATCAGGCTAAAATTAATTTTTATACAGACTGATTAATACAATGTTTCAAAGAAACGACTGAAGAATTGGTTGGGTAAATTATGAACTATTGAAATAATTCCTTAATGAGAGTTCACAGTGCCTTTTATTATTATACACTGAGAAGTGATCATCATAAGTATTGAACATATTGAAGTAATCATACTTTTTAATAATCATGTTAACATTATTCTATAAGTTTGATTCTGTTGTATATATATTCAACATTAGATAAAACAAAACGAAAGATCAATTATTCACTTACTTTGATATCGATTGTGACACAACCTAAAAAATCATCCATATCACCAGTTTGATTTTTACGTGCAGATTGACTAACTTGTTTAAAATAACGACCTAACTGTTTTACACCACGAATTTCATTTAAACTTCGAACTGCTTCTAATACACTAGTCTCTTCATCATGATCCCTGAAAGTAGAAACATAAATCAATTGACCAAATTAGCAATGGTTGTTCATAAGGTTTTCAAAAGTGATGACAATCAAGTTGAAAGTATAATGCTTTCTGTGACAAAATATGTACAAAAACATAATTCTTCCAGTGATTAACACATGGTATCTGTCAGACGTAAATTCATTTTAAATATATTTATCCATAGATTTACCGTATCGCCAATTTTATTGAGTTAGTTTTAAACTAAACCGGTCGGTTGTCCTATTACCGAACGACTTAATATGTTATTCTTTGGTTAGTCTTCGGTGTGTAGTTAAATTTAATTGTTCATAAAAAATTCAGAAGCCAAATATAAGTTGCCACATGTAGACCACATACACTGACGTTCAGACCAGCCTAAGGAAGAGTATAAGAAGTGTCATTTAAATAACAAATCTATACATAAGTTAGAAATAACCGATCAACTTCCATTACAATTATTAAAACAATAAGTAAAAATAAATCGTGGATATTTCTAGATACATGGCTGTTCATATGTCTAAGTTGAAGCGATATGATTGCTGTAAATATACGAACGTCAAAACAGTTCTACTGTACGGAGCTGAAACGTGGAGAACTACTACATCCATCGTCAAGAAGGTACAAGTATTTATAAACAGATGTCTACGCAAAATACTCAACATTCACTGAACGGATACTATCAGCAACAGCTTTTTATGGGAGAGGACAAACCAGCTTCCAGCTGAAGAGGAAATTAGGAAAAGACGTTGGAAATTGATAGGACATACATTAAGGAAATCACCAATGTGCATCACGAGGCAATCTCTAACTTCGAATCCGGAAGGGAAGCAGAAAATAGGAAGGTCAAACAACACATTACTCTGGGAAATAGAAGCAGATACGAAAAGGATGAATATTAACTGGAAAGAACTGGAAAGAAAGGCCCAGGATAGAGTTGGATGAAGAATGCTGATGAGCGGCTCATGCTCCTCGACGAGGGGTAACAGGCGTGAGTAAGTAAGTAAGATTGCTGTAAATACGACAACAAATATTTGGAATATCTTCTATCAGTCCATGGTAAGATAATTTCTAAGAACATAGTTGAAAGTGCTATGAACATATGAACATAATTTGTTGCTTGTAAACAAATTTAGGATTAAATGATTATCCAACATAAATAGTCTTCACTTAATACAAAATTAAATAAATCTTTTGGATAAATGTCACTAAAGTGTCAAAAAATAATCCACATATTCAGATTCAGATCTATAATTCGAGTGTATTATTATTTGGCTAGCACAGAATAACATCAAACCGTGTGACAAAAAAGGAATCAGGATAATTCCTTCAGAAATACCTATAACCCATTACTTTTATGAATTAACTCTGTCTCAGTTACATTTCTATTCACTTTTTCCTACTAATGGTTTAAATCTAGAGTGAAAATTATTACTGAGGCAAAATGATGTAATTTAATATAGATTATTTATGAATGGATCAATGTTAGACCACCACTGAAAACGTGGAAGCACTGAACGATCATTTTATCCTAGTATGAGACTCCTCAACAATCTCCAAAACCTTATACTGAGATAGATTATTTACGAAAAACTAAAATTATGATCCAGGTAGTTTGCATCTTTTTTAATTTATTATCAAAATTACATTGTACTCTATTAGACTTGCACGCAATGTATATGAATACGAAATATTCTGTTTATAATAATAAACTTTTATGTACATTTTCCGCATGCCTACAATAGTCTATATATATCTTTCTAATGAAATTTTTCTTTTACCCCAAAACATAAACAAAGAACGATTGTGATGATCGGTGTGCAGAAAAGAAAGAAAGAAAGATACCTAAGGAGAATTACATTTCACTATATTGTTTTGTATATTTAACATTTATGTTTAAGTTGAAATGAATAACTCTCTGTCCCCCTCTCTTTCATTCTCTTATTCTTCAATTAATTATAATAAATGATATACAATTTAGTCACTATCTTCTTAATAACATTCTGTAATAACATAACAGTAATCAGTCAACACAAGATAGTTAAGTGAATTTTCTTGTAATTTTTATCAATCATTTTAATAATTTTGTTAAATATCAAAATAGAAACAAACTAAATTAACAGTTTGATTTATAAACAAGTTTTAAGATGGTGGAGAAGATTTGTAGCTCAGGTGGTTGATTTTGATAGAGTTTTGTTCTCTGAGCTCTGAGCTTCATCAAAATAAACAAGTTTGATTTTGTTTTTATATTTTTGTCTAAATAAAACTTGATATTAACTAATAAGGGTTGTTAAAGTAAAGAAGAAAAAACAACAAGAGAATGGAGGGAATTTAAAAGTTATGATGAACTGAAGAGAAATTTATTGTTTATTAATAAACAAACATAGAACATTTGTAGTAACTGATTTCAATCCAACTTTTTATTGACTTAATATTCAAAGTATGGGCTGGAAGAGCTTTAATAAATATGAATCATGGTCAAATGATCTGACGTTAACACAAAATATCTTATTATTCAAAGAAAACAATAGTTCATTACGGAATATGGAATCTGCGTGAATAAGAAGCTAATCAAATTCATTTACTAACTGTCTGTATTTATAATAAACCTTGAGAAAAATATTTCATAAATTTTAATTTCTCGTGTCAACTGGATACGGAAATCAAGATACGTGGGTCATAGTTTATATTCGTTACTTAGGGGTTAAATGTTGATCCCTTGACGATAAATCTAGTCAATTATTTATGAAACATACAAATCATTAAGCATTCCTAGAACATCAGAAGTTCTATTTGTAACATACGAAGACTATGACATATATAAAATATATTACTAACTGAATAATAATGTCGCTATAAATATTCTTCTATAAAGATGATGTTTAGATTTGCTTTGATCAACATTTGACTCAAGAAAAACCAATTTGAACATAAATGAAATATGATGAGAATGAAGCAAAGATGGACAGTGGCTAGCAGTGAAATTAAGGACGTGCGTTTCGTCCTATTTGGGACTCGTCAGCTGAATGTGCCTGCATCTCAGAGTTTATATTGACTGTGAAACTCTAACATCGATTCTGAGATGCAAGCACATCCAGCTGACGAGTCCTTAATACAACGAAACGCGCGTCCTGGATTCCACTGCTAGCCACTATTCATTTTTGCTTATAGTGCTTTTGATGAGAATGATTTGTAAATAAAATATGCCTAATAATTAAGGTATTTTTTTCAGTTACCTTTCATTTTAGATTTACTGTTAAATACTGAAAGCTTGTATTGTTGTTTTACAAAGTGTAGATTCAATGTGATTACACGAAATTTGATAGTTACCTAACTAAGTGAAATCTCTGTATATATATCTTATCAGGTAAGTTTACTTAAAATCCATATCAAAAGTCTAAATGACTGATGTTACAGAATTTCTTGTTCTATTTTCAGACCTGCCTCATGTTTGATCATGTTTTTAATGAGCTGCACAATTTTTATAAATGATGACCTCTTTACAGTTTCTAAGCTATAGTTCTTGTAGCTGCTCATGTCAACTTTTATTTTCGTTTCCCGCAAAAATAGAAATACTTGAAATTATTCAACCTCTTCGATGTGATGTTAATTCTCGTAATATACATGTAATTATGATAACATACATTTCATTAAAAACATTTTACAACATTTCAGCCTATAAATAACATTTCATACTATACATAAAGAGATTATCTTAGCTTGAAAGCCAGTGCAAATCAGTTAAAACAGCTTAGCAGTTTCGTTTTACGAATACATCACCAAAACAGTGTCCAGCCTTGGCGTCAATGTCACTCGAGTTCAGAAACACCAGGGCCTCTCATGATAAGCACTTAGATATTAGGCAATAAGGGATCTTAAAATAAAATTCAACGCTTAACGTACTTCCGGTTTAAATTTGAAATTTAGTTTGCCCTTATTGAATGTTCGTTGACCTAGCTTAAATAAACAATTGATCTAAGTCATCTACAAAAATAAATGATACATTTAATTGCTTCAATTATAAATGAACATGTCAATAAGTGATAGTATTATTGTACGGTGGTTAATATTTCATTGTAGCAAGTGACTACAGATATGAAATTGTCATTTCTTGTTGTATGTAATACCAATATTTGTTATTCCATTTCATTCTACGTAATATAACATTACACTTCTTTGCCTAATCAGATTATTCAATAGTTACGCGATGCACAATAATTCCTTTCTAATGACAGGTGTCATATTTTCAATAAACTAGGGATTCTGTTCAGAGAAAATAAAATATTCTTTACAATGCAATAACTAAGAACATTATCATAATATGATAATTCTTTTTAAGAAACATACTATAGTTAATTCGATTGAACAGAAGTGGATTAGTGTGGGAAACAAGAAGATTGAATAATTTTTACGCATTTCTAATATTACATTAGTGGAATTGTAGGCGGCCTGCTTAAACATCTGGGCTACCTGTTTCCCGTCATCCATATATTTCAACAAGTTATCTAATATTGTTTGTTTTAATACATCATTATGGCTATTAAGCACACAACCTATTCACGTGCGTTTCTGAAAACTGTACAACCTTTCGCTGTAAAGGTTACAAAAGGCCTAATCAAAGATGTCGTGTTTGCTGGGAACATGCAGCAAAAAGAATATACATTATTCATATGTCGATTGACTGACCTGCTGACATCCAACTGGCTATCACTGAATGTTTATCATCAGGAGCAACGAAGAAATAAGAAACGTAAACATGTTGAAATACTTTATGCTGAGAATTCGATTTTGTACCAAATAATATAATATTGAATAAAGCTAATGATAATAATAATAATACAGATTATTTCTTCTCAAGATAATGGAAAGCGATGTGGTTTAATCTTTGAAGTGATGAGTTTTATGTTTGAAATCACTGACTGATATTATTTAGACTATGACTGGAAATTAGGATTAATCGGATGAGTGTTTGGTCTTCATTGATGGCTTTGCTGTAGTGCACATCCACCCTATTGCGGTCAAACACACTACCCTACAGTGTTCTGTCGTGTGCCTTATCCTTGAACTACTGAGCTATGATCCAGTGATTTTTATGTCACACTTTAATGTATTGGTGACTCTGTGTGGTCATCCCAGATTGTTACTGGTGTGTAACTGCTCCACATCTGATATAGGTGATCATCAATGGTCACACTTTCTCCGTAAATTGAATGTTGAAACAAGTCACATATCAACATGTGATTATTATTATCAATCAGTTTTCGTGATGATTGATGAAATTCTTAGTACGCATCAGTGACCGATCTTAGTGAAATATCAAACAAAGGATACGAGACCCAAATTTCTTGAATACAAATCTCGGTGAAATCATGTATCTTCAGTTCTGAATAGTTCGGTACTATTATGAAACGTTTTCTCAGTGCTTTCTGATTATCAGTGATTGTTCATTTGAAAAAAATGATCCACAAAATATACAACAACAGAATTTGTTGTACAAGTTATTAGTATTTGTTAATCTATTTAGAAATTTTCTATTCTATATACAAAGTTATTATGTAGACCGATTCTTGGTTTTTTAGAGCTGAATTTCACACATCTACTATATTGAATAATTTTACTCAGAATATTTAAAATAATCGCTTAATCATGAATGACTGATCTGCATCGTTTAAGTAAATCTAGATATCTACGAATCTTAATTTTAATAAAAAGGGATAGCTGCTTTACAAATTTGGTGCTGTCTAATTTCCGCTTATTGATTGTCACGTGATTTGAGTTTTTTTCGCTAACAACTAAAATCTACTCATCCATGTTGTCAGGTCAATAGATTAATACTGTTTATGCTACTGATCTAATGACAATGCTGTTTGTTCTTCTAGAAAAAAATGAGTGAGAATACTAAAAGTATGTATGTTTTAATAATTGAATGGTCATGCAACGCATTATCATATACAAGTATCTAATTATTAATGAATGACATACTTCCGGAAGAAAAAACTAGAAACATGGAAATATAATGAACTTGAAAAAATAAACATGTGAATTTTGCATTAGTAATTTCAGAGATGAAAGAGATAAAAAAAAATACACATAACTATCCATTTATACCAAAACTATTCCACAGAATCTATAAAAATAAATTCGACAAACTTATCTTTCAGGTGACGTTTCTTATAGATTTACATCATTTAAAAAAACTATTTAGAAATCCAGAGAACTAGGTGAACGTTTCATCCTAAATTTGGACTCATCATCAAAAGGTATTTATAACTTATCAGGAAGTCAAACTAAGGTGTCTTCAGTATTCAATGCTACAGATAATTATTAAGACAACCGAGTTAATTCATAACAATTCATGTACTCAATTTTACTCCTTTCGCACTGATATGGAATACAATACCTGAAAAGAACTTATTCTACGAACATTATCAGTTAGGTCTGTATTATTTTCGATATAAAATTCAGTAATTTGATAATTAAAGGACAGGAGCAAACCTAGAAACTTTAAAACGTTTATCAACATTCATGCGTTTTCTTCGAATTGTAAGACTTAGTTTTAGTCAACAGTAAACTAAATAAGGTTCATCAACCACATTTTTTATATTTAAAATTAATCTAGATTGCTTATAAATCAATAAATGATAAAAGATACCCATAAAACTTTATGAAGATAGTTCCCAAGATTTTTGATACTCTCTTCAGACGTTTTTTCAGATAAATATAGGACAGTTGTATTTTTCAAGGAAATCAAATGTCTTTGTTGATTTTGAAAGTAGATTGTTATCAATATTAAATATTTATCAAACAGTAATGAAATCTGATTATTTTCTAGTCCCATTCATCTCACTAGTATAACATAAGGAATTTAACTTATGAAAATGTAATTACTTAATTGCTATATTTATTTGTCGGAAATTTTATGTAAATCATTCATTTTAAGGCTAAGTTGTACAATTATATTGATAAATGGTATGAACAGTTACAGTTGAACTAATTCTTGCTTCGACTTCTAATTGATTTGATATATTATTCTAAGTAATAATGTAGTGTATGTTACTTATGTTGACATACATAATTAGTATATAACTCCAATCAGAGGTGAAATGTCTGACAGTAGAAAGATAAAGAAATCTTATTGAAGAGAACAAAAATATAAACAGAGGGTAGTCTTAATGACAACAAGAATGAAGTTTGTAAGAGACAATTGATGGAAGACGGGTAAATGGAGTATTTAATTTATGATTTTCATAATTTACAATAACACTCTGTAATTTATAATAAATAATACATTGGTTATCCCCACTTGAGTGTTTCTTCACTACAATAACAGTAATATACGTTGTGTTGGTAGTAACACTAATCGATTTTGTAATCACATAAACTTTACTATACAAAATGAATGCATGAAAATTAACTAACCTTATCTGTTCAAGAAATATAATAGCATTTACAAAACTAATTATCAGCCGGTTGTTCATTGGTGGCTTTCTATCATACAATGAATGTTTCGTTTAATGATATTTATTTATACATATAAACTTATTAGAATTATAAACAGGTCTATTCGGTTGCATTTTTCTCTTATTTTGATTTTAATCATATAAATGTGTTGAAAGTTTTACTATCCTTTACATTTAGTGCTAGTAACCTAGTACCAATAAACATGAATTTCTATACATCATTGCAAGGAAATTAACATTTGGATATAAATTTGATTAAAATATTGAATATAGTTGTTAGGTAAGGTTATTACTATTCCAAACAAGTAATTTATGATAAATGTGTAACGTTTACAAACTTATATAAAACATAATAACCGATTTAAAGTGTAGCTTTTGATAAATAGATAAGATCACTGTGAACATTTATGCCAAGAATGTATAATAGTTCATTGAAATTTGTCAATGTCTTGATAACATTGTTATATCCCGACGAGAATAATGAATGGTAACTGTTGCGATCTATTTATGGAATAATACTGTACATATATTTTTATTATGTAATTGTCAAGTAACTGAACTATATACATTCATATTCCTCTTATTATAATAATTCATTGAATCTGTTTATTTAATTATGCATTATTTGTATAGTTATTATGACAGAAGTCACAATTAAAAAGTTCCCTATGATAAATTGTATTCATTATTTTACTTAATCAAAATTTAGACATAATTAAATTGTGTAACAGTTTCCTACTATTAAGGAAAGAACGGGAACGAAGCACAGTTAGTGTGAAAATGTATGAACAATAATAATCGGAGACGATGAACTGATATTTACAGAAGTAAGAGATCAGGATTGAGTCAATTGATTGAGCATTTGCAACATAACTATTTACTTTATGGTTCCCATATTTTAGTGAAATATTCTGTAATTTTGTAATGGAACACATTCGATTGTTCCCACCCGTGTTCTATTCACAACACTAGGATTAAAATACTTTCATGAAGAAATTTTAAAAATAATAATGAAAAAAACCATGGAACATTTGAAAATTATTTTATCGATTAGTTTGACTTACCATATATCCAAATGTAACTTATCACTTGATACATCGTCTAATTCTCTAGATGAAAATGAAAAAATGTAAAAAGGAAAACATTGTTTAAATGTATAATCATTAATGAAAATAGATTCATAGTTTATTAAAGGATAAATCTGTACAGGATTCATGTTATTTAAACTTTTGTGTTAATTTAATGAAGTTGAATAAAGTAGTTGACAAAATAAGATTCAAAGAAGAGGATTTTACCATTAAAGCTTCAATGCTTTTTATAGATAGTTCCATGTGTTTGTATGGCTTGATTTTTAAAACTACGAAGATGTTCAATATTGATATGTATAATAAGATTGAAATAATCTACCATGAAGGCACAATTAAATCACACCATTAATTGAATGTAAGTAAGCTATTTTAAACTTATACTATCAAAAATATACTGAAGTTTAATATTCTGAAATGAGTTCAGTTTTCTTTAAATGATCACAATCAAATAATACCATTATATAATTTATTCAATATATGTAGACTCATAACTTATTTGTAATCAGTTTATAATGTGACTTAATCAGTATAGTGAGTTATTTTTTTAATCAACCATTTGTTGTCTTAAATTCTTCTGTCACAATTTCGAAAGTCAATCTGTTGCGTAAATTACGTATCCGTACTGAGCAATTCCCTAAACGTTTCTTCAATGAAGTAAATAAAGATGATTCTGTGTTTAGAAGAAAAAATTATCACCATCATTAAACTAAACCAAATAAAAATAGATAAGAATAAAGTCATAAAAAAAAACTTTCATTAATTTACACAATGACGTAACCTAATACCTATAATTAACACAATAAATGATTTACAATTGTATCTATTTAAGAAGGACTTAATTATGACAATAATGTAAAGTATTCATAATTCACATAATTTATCATTATTTAAAAACCGGATATCTATTTTAAATCATCTTTGTATTAGATTTATGTATATTTCAATTAAACTTATGTCAATATAAATTAGGTATGTCAACTTTTCTTCTGATTGTAACATTTATGATTAGGAAAACAACAATATTCTATGGAAACATTGTGGATTGTTTTTGTAGAAAAAATAAAAACAATAAGAAAAAAAATCTTAAATAAATAATTCTAAAACAGAATAATTATCTTCACTACAGTTACCACCTTCTCTCCACCCTCTCAACATCTCAATTTTAATATACTTATCAAAACAAATGCAAATTAGATGTAGTTTACTTCATTTCATGGATACATAAAAAATAATGATTTCAGTGAAAGTATACAAGTAAATTTTAGCAGATTTCTATATTCATTTCTATATATCACGTCATAACACTTTAAACTCAGTCAATTCACTATAATCTTTTAAATAAACTCATCATTGAGTAAACTATTCATTTCAATATAGATAATTGTTCAATATCAAAAAGATGTCCCCCTTTCTTAAGTTTATATTTATGCATATTTATACCTCATTTCCCCTTTCTTAAGCTTATATTTATACATATTCATGTTTACATTGTCATGAAAATAATAATATGTATTCATCAAGAACACTTGACAGTGAAATTAACTAATTTACATTTTTTTTAAAACACAAAACAAAAACAAATAACGTATTGAAATGTTTATACAAATTTAAAGTACAATACTGTTTTGAAGAGTTGAGTATTTGGAAAAACAAAAAAGAGAAAAATAATTATAAACTATTTAAATACAATAACAACTAAGTCAAAATTTAGACAGGAGTGAAAACTACTACAAATCATATTTGATGTAAGAAATAAACTGTCATTATATACACAGTACTGTTTTTATCATCTTGAAGAGAGTAAGGACAAAGATTTCGTTTATTTGTCGTCAACTGTTTACTATCTGTATTATTTGTAGTGATAATTTTAGAAAAATCAGTTCAGCTTACATACATAAAAGAAGTGTCTTTGGAAGTTGTTTTAATCACACATCAGTTAAGTTATAAGAAAGGTGTAAATAAATTTAATAGACTAAATAAAATATTGTAAATGTATACCTTCTGTAATAGAACATTCTACAACACTAATTGTAGCAAGAGTGTAGAATGTTGTTTTACGTTGGCCGTATATTTACAATATTTATTCTATTTAATCCCAATCATATTAAAAGACTAATATTTGAACGAAGAATATTCTTTTCGACAAAATTCTCTTCAGGTTCTACAATTACGTATCCAAATTAATAATCCGAAAAAAATGGCCAGGTTAAAGGCAAAGTACATCGTTTAAAGCATAGAATAAAATTGTCAATGTTGATATGACTCATATAGAATGTTAACTTGAATCTGTATATTCGTAAAGTGAAAATTTAAGATCTGTGATCAGAATATAAATATGGGTTAGATAGGGTGAGAGAGATATGATAGTGCAATTACAATTCGATCAAGTGGAAGGCTAAATTGTGTGAAAAATTAGTGAGACGTAATAAAGAGGGATCAATGCGATGTGAATGAATCATGTTTAGGGGGGATTAATAATGAAATTTAACCAATAATAATAATAAAGAAGGTATAGCTATGGGTTCACCAGTTTCTCCGATTGTTGCGAATTTATTCATGCATTCACTCGAAACTAGTGCAATCGCAAGAAGTGTTTGTCCACCAAAGGTCTGGCTACGGTATGTAGATGACATTTTTGTTATCATTAAACAGGACTATTTGGAAGAATTGTTTACAAATGTGAACAACATTTCGGAACAAATTAATCTAACGAAGGAAATAGAGTCTGATGACCACAAACTGGCATTTCTCGACTGTATGGTTGAACGAAGACTTAATAATAGGAAGTTGAAAATAAATGTTTTCAAAAAATCAACACATTCAGATAGATCCTTAGATTTTGATTCGGCGCATGCTTTATGTACGAAAGTCACAGTTGTTAAAAATTTAATTAACAGAAGTCTGAAGCTTGTTACAGATGAAGAAGACCAACAATTTGAATTGAATAGGATTTTAGCTACACTTAGGGATAACAACTACCCAAAAGAGTTTTTAAAGAAGATTGTTAGAAAGGAAAGAAAAGCTAAACTGCAACATGTACAGAAAGATTGGAAGTCCACTGTAGTCATACCATACCGTAGCGAAACATCGGAGGAAATCAAACGGATTTTAAACAAACATGATATAAGAGTGTATTTTAGAACATGTGACACTATAAGATCGTCATTGGTGAAGGTTAAGGATAGGTTACCAAAGGAAGAACAACAAAATATTGTCTATGAGATCAATTGTCATGATTGTAATGCGGCTTATATTGGAGAAACATCCAGACAATTGAAGGTAAGGTTGAAGGAACACAAACAGTGTTTAAAAAACGTTCCCAAAACCTCGGTTGACTTAAAGAAACTTGAGAATAAGTCTGCAATAGCGTTACATGCGTTGGAAACGGGACACATGATTAATTTTGAAGGGGCCAAAATACTTCAGAAAGGTTTCAACACTCACAAAGAAAGATTGACAGCAGAAGCGATGTATATATGGGCGAATAAGAACAGCCTAAACAGAAAGGATGGTATTCAGCTAGCTACCACTTGGCAAATATTCATCAACAAGTAATTTGACCTTTTTCTTTTATTCAACCTGTTTACTTCACATGAATCGTTATTATGACTGAAATCAATATGAGTTATGCTTAACATTACAATTTATGTACTTGATGATTCTCATTTTATTTGCAACTTCGATGATTCAGAAAGGAGAAAAACTTTTCAACCTTCATTATGCACGTTTATTCCTATTTTACTTCACATAGAAACATATCAACACTGAATATCATTCATCATTAATAACTCATCTTACACATACATACATACATACACACAATTTATGCAGTCTCCTTTAATTCACATCGTTGAACTTTTTCACTTGATTCTCATTCAACTGACTCATATTATCCTGTTGTACAAAAACTTCGACATCCAAATATGATTGGATTAAAAAGTAGTAGAGATTTTGATATGATTGTAAAAACACTATATATTTCTTTGATGATTTTGATTTTGATTATTTCCCTGAAGAAGTCCAGACAAGTTAGCTGGACGAAACGTTGGAATTATTTAAATTTCAATCGCTGAGACTATTTCAAATATAATTTTTTCACATATAATGAATAATAATAATAATACAAAGATTTGTGAATAAAGATAAGAGAGACAATTACATTTGACTACGAAAGGTCGTAAGTACATAGTCAAATTAGGTCATACAATAGCTAAGATGATTGTTCATTAATTGGCCTTGTGGTTGGTCAAGGGAGGAGTAGGGGTTGGAGATATTTCTTCTGTACACATAGCTCCGGTTTCTTCATTCTGATGGCTACTGCCTCCGCTATGCATTAAACGATGTACTTTGCCTTTAACCTGGCCATTTTTTTCGGATTATTAATTTGGATATATAATTGTAGAACCTGAAGAGAATTCATACTATTTTGTTAAAAATCTTTGTAATCACTCTTTTCATTCTGTCTTGATAGATGGTAAATATTTTATGCATTTGAAATCATGAGTCTGTTGAAGCTAGACCACTAGATTCAATTGACTCATGATTTCAACTATATAAAATTACTAAAATCTCCACAAAATCCCATCTGATAAATATTTATTGAATGTAATTTACGTTTCTAATTCATTTTATTATGAATTGAATTTCTCATTTGGATTGATTGTATAGAAGTAATAATTACAATAATATACTTTTTATTTACGTATCAAGTTATTGATGTGATAATATGGTGTGCGCTACTGGTGTCAACAAATATAAGTAGTATGTATCATCAATCAAAAGTGAAATACCTGGTGGTAGAAAGTTAAAAAAAATCAAAGAAAAGGGAATGATTGGTAAGGAAACGAAAGAACAACGACATCTGAGATGAATGAAGTATTAATTGTATGGTTCTCAGATTTTACTAAGATGTTCTGGAATTTCGTGTCCAAGTACATTCGATTGTCCCCACTTGTGTTCTCGTTCACCAACCAAAAATGGAATGCCTAGAGGCAGAATCTTGAGAACATCGAAAAGAAGAA